CAAAGTGCTGGGATTATAGGCGTGAGCCACCGCGCCCAGCCTGTCATCTCTTCTTTAAGGACACCATTCAGATTGGATTTAGAGCCCACCCAGATAATCTAGGATGATCTCCTCTCAAGATTTTTAACTTAATGACATCTTCAGAGACCCTTTTGCCAAATCAGGTAACATTCCCAGTTTCAGATGTTAGGACTTGGACATATCTTTTAGGGAGTCACTATTCAGCCCATTATACTAAGTATGTTCACAGTCCTCTAGGAAAATAAGTTGATATTTCAAATTGTTGTCTGTTTTTTGCAAACTTATAGAAAACTCTAACCTCCATTTCTCTGATTCTTTGCAGTTGGTCCTGAGAAAAGGGTGCCAGCAATGCCTGGATCGCCTGTAGAAGTGAAGATACAGTCCAGATCCTCACCTCCCACCATGCCACCCCTCCCACCAATAAATCCTGGAGGACCGAGGCCAGTGTCCTTCACTCCTACAGCATGTGAGACCTCTTAGTTACTGGTGTTTGTAGTTCAGAGTAGACATTTGGATCTAAGAGATTGACTTGCATGAAGCCTTTCGTATATATTATTCAGTATTTTCAAAGTGCTATTGAAAACATAGACACAGATATATTATTTCTGGTTGTTTCTTTTATAAATTACACCCTCTGCAAATAATACTTAGCTTAGTTATTTGGATATTTAGTTGTTTAAATATTTTGTTTTCATGCTCTTTGGTAACTTTTTATTTCCTTGACTCTAACAATAATGAATTTAAATTATTATATTGACTTTTGGGATTCAAAGTAAGTTTTCCAGAATTACAGAATTAATTCTAAAAGCATTCTAGTGCTGTCATTAAGGCTCTTTACAAAAGAGGATATTGTTGTATTATTTTACTAGGGCTGCCATAATGAAATACCACAGACTGGTGGTTTAAACAATTTATTTTTATTAATTTTCTCACAGTTCTGGAGGAAGAATGTAAAGATCAAGGTGTTGGCAGGTTTGGTTTTACCTTGGCCTTGCAGATGGTTACCTTCTCACCATATCCCCACATGGCCTTTCCTCCATTTGCGTGTATCCCTGGTGTCTCTTCCCCTGCTTATAAGGACAATAATCGTATTGGATTAGGGACTACTCATAATACCTCTTTTAAACTTAATAAACTCTTCAAAGTCCTTATCTCCAAATATGGTCCTATTCTGATATACAAGGAGATAAGACTTCAGTGTGTGAATTTGGCCAAGACTCGGGCAGAATTCAGTCCATAACCATTATGTTAGCTAATAATATATGTAACAAGATATTCAACTTCACTAACCATCAAGGAAATGCAAACTAACACCCAATACAATACCATTATACATGCACCGGGATGTTCAAAATGATGCCAAGTTTCGATGATGTATGGAGCAACTTGAACACTCATACAATGCTGGTTGGAGTGTAATTTAGTACATCCACTTTTGGAAATTGTTTGGCTATGTGCACTAATGCTGAATTTCCACGTACCCTGTAACTGAATGATTTCAGTCCTATATATCGATAATCACCAAAATAACCCCAAATAAACTTCACCTTAAAATCTGGTATACATACATGCACATATATGTCTTTTCTTTTCTTTTCTTCTCTTTTCTTTTCTTCTTTTTGAGATGAAGTCTTGCTCTGTCACCCAGGCTGGAGTGCAGTGGCGCGATCTTGGCTCACTGCAACCTCAGCCTCCCAGGTTCAAGCGATTCTTCAGCCTCAGCCTCCCAGGTAGCTAGGACTACAGGAATCGGCTAAGTTTTGTATTTTTAGTAGAGACAGGGTTTCACCATCTTGGCCAGGCTGGTCTTGAACTCCTGACCTCGTGATCTACCCACCTTGGCCTCCCAAAGTGCTGAGATTATAGGCATGAGCCACCACGCCCAGCTGCACATACGTGTCTTGATCTTCATTTGAGTTATGCCTTTCCATACACATGCTGCCGCCCCCAGTTCACGTTGACACTCTGCAGAGCTTTTGCCTCTAAACCAGAATGTACTGCTATTTGTGGAATGCCCAAAAAGTGTCAGAGAACTGAGCCAGATGCTATATGTATTGTTTTATTTAAATGTTATTACACAAGCTTGCACACTGTCCTTGCTCAAAACTTTGTGTTTTGTGTGTAAGAGAATGTAAGATGTACAGCGTTAATTGGAAGTTTATTATTTTCCCAAAACATTTGAAATTGAGTAGCTGGCAACTGCAGCATTCAGTTTGAGCCAGAGTGAATGAAAAGAAGTACAATATCACTTTTTAAAAATTCTAATTTCTATCTCAAAGTTAAACAGACCTAGACATATATACTATCTTGAAAAGAAACAGATTTAAATCTTGGCCATCAATCAGATTTCAAGATACACCCATAGGTACATGTATATATAAATGCAGCCCTTTTCACTTCCATATTTGGCTGCTTGGAGGTGGATGTTTCATTTCAGAAAATGCGATCATACAGTTTTTACTAAAGAGACTACGAAGAAACCTTCCTGTGCATCAGAGTAGCTAAAAGCATGATAATGTGTTATTTTTGTGGGTTCCTTCAAAAGGGAACAGCTTGCCAATAACAATTGACCTTTCTGTGAAAACAAAGAAATGGCAGACCATTGCAACTAATTTTCTGGATTGCTGAGATTGAGTGTTGAACCTTCTTTCTAGTAGCTTTAGTAATTTCCTTTAATGGAAGACACAGAAGAAAATTCACCCCCTTTCTCAGCCTGTTAGCCTTTTATACAGTGAATCATTCAGCAGCATTTTCCTGAACACTTACCCTTTGCTAGCAAATGAACAAAGCAAAAATATACACAGTATACACAGTTTGTAAAACTTAATTACAGTATGGACATATGTGTTGTGTAGTATATTAGTCAATAAGGCAACAAAAATATAGAAATAAGCATAGGTCGGGCGCGGTGGCTCACGCCTGTAATCCCAGCACTTGGGTAGGCTGAGGAGAGCAGAGCAGATCACTTGAGGTCAGGAGTTTGAGACCAGCCTGGCCAACATGGTGAAACTCTGTCTCTACTAAAAGTACAAAAAATTAGCTGGGTGTGGTGGTGCAAGCCTGTAATCCCACCTGCTTGGGAGGTTGAGGCAGGAGAATCGCTTGAACCCTGGAGGCGGAGGTTGCAGTGAGCCGAGATCACACCACTGCACTCCAGCCTGGGTAACAGAGCAAGACTCTATCTCAAAAAAAAGGGAAAGAAACAAGCATAATTTGGGAAGTAAAATGATGGAAGCATGCACATAGGCAGCACAGAGATATAGTGAATCCACTAAGGCTGACCTTCAAGTGGAGCAGCAGCAGCATGTGTCAAAGAATGCTCCTTAATAGAGATGATACCTGAACTATATGGAATGAAAAAGAGCTTGCCAGGTCAAATGTGAATAAGGTTCAGTGTAAGAAGAGGGAACAGAGATGGTTAACTGTGAGTGGCTTAGAGGAAGTAGAAAGGAAGTGGAAGAATTTTTATAATTAATAAGTTTGTTTTTGGTAAAATATGATTAAATGTCATTTTTCTAAGCTAGGTAAAGATTAAATGATTGACTCTTTAAATATTGCTTAAGTCCTGTATTGTTTCTTATGTTTTTAGATGCAGTTTCACTTTAATAGTTTTTTAAAGCTGAATATGATTAAGTGAAAATAGGATGACACTTAGGTACTAGATCAATTAGGTTTTTACTCAGTGCCAACAAGAACATAGCTCAGTGCCAGGCACAGTGGCTCATGCCTGTAATCACAGCCTTTGGGAGGCCAAGGCGTGAGGCTTGCTTGAGCCAGGAGTTTGACACCAGCCTGGGCAGTATAGTCAGACCCCTTTATCTACCAAAAAAAAAAAAAAATAGCCGGACATGGTGGCACATTCTTGTAGTCCCAGCTACTCAGGAGACTGAGATGGAGGGACGCTTGAGTGCAGGAGGTCGAGGCTGCCATGTGCCAAGTTGGTGCTGCTGCACTCCAGCCTGGATGGCGGAATGAGACCCTACCTCAAAAAACAAAACCATAGCTCTAGGGTTCTTTTCCAAATTAAAATTATCAGGAAATGACTATTAAGAACAAAATAGGAAAACTAATTAATCAATGTATTATAATTTGAGCAAAAATGTAGAATGGGAGTGTCCTGCATGGAATCAGGAAGATTCCTTATTGAATGACCAAGGATTTGGCATATTAATCTAGCACCGTTAAGTCAGAGAGTTACTTGCTTTAATGGACATGAGTATTCTGGATGGCCAAAGAGATGGGTATCTTATTGTAGGAATAAATCGTTAAATCAGTAGGCCTAAAAAATATCCCTCACATTATCATAACTCCTTTTTCTGGTTTCTTGCTCACATGCTACCTTCTGATTGACTACCTGCTGTTTTTGGGATCTTGAAATTGGGAAGAAGATGTGATGTAAAAGATGGATATGAGTACCCCATCACTGGAAAGAGCTATTGGACGAGACCCATCTCAAGTACTACCTGTTGCAGGAAGTCTTTCTTAAAACTGTGGACCCCTGCCCATGGCACCTGTAGAGTTAGATGTCCCTTATTGCTCTTGGAGCACTCTGCTTTCTTTTTAAAACTCCAATGTTACTCTGTTATCACTTTTATTTGACAGCAGTCTCATTAAGGACAGAACATGTTTTGCATACTTTTATAACATGTGCTTTACAAAATTTAAATGAACAAATGAAGGAGAACACAAACAAGAAAAAATGAACAAAGGTCCTGTTGTTTTGCACGTAACCTGAGTCTTTCATTTTGGCTTTCTTTTAGTAAGCAATGGAATCAACCATTCTCCTCCTACCCTCAATGGCGCCCCATCACCACCACAGAGATTCAGCAATGGTCCTGCCTCTTCCACATCATCTGCACTCACAAATCAGCAGTTGCCAGCGACTTGTGGTGCTCGACAGCTCAGCAAGTTGAAACGCTTTCTTACCACTCTGCAACAGTTTGGCAATGACATCTCCCCTGAGATTGGGGAGAAGGTGCGGACTCTTGTTCTTGCACTGGTGGTAAGTACAGCCTCACTGTTGTTGTCAGCTGCCTGAGTATGTGGCTTAGATCCAAAGCCAGCAGAGAAGTTCTAGATATTTCTGCTCATTTTCAAACCCATAGTAATATGGCAGATGCTACAGACTAGACTAGTTATTGAATAACTTGTATAAAACTGTTTAATTGTAGGATTTTTCTTTTGAGACAGGGTCTCACTCTGTCACCCAGGCTGGAGTACAGTGGTGCAAACACAGCTCACTTCAGCCTTGATCTTCCAGGTTTAAGCAATTCTCTTGCCTCAGCCTCCCAAGTAGTTGGGACTATATGGGCGTGCCACCATGCCCAGCTAGTATTTTTATTTTTGTAGAGCCGGGATCTCCCTGTCTTGTTCAGGCTGGTCTCAAACTCCTAGCTTCAAGCAATCTGCCTACCCCAGCTTCTCAAAATGCTGGGATTACAGGCATAATGTTTAATTGTAGATTTTATATCAATGCTTATCAAAGAAGCAGTCAATGATATTTTCTTAATTCCCAAAACAACTTTGGATTTTTCTTAAAACTGGTCTCAACAGGCCCACTGGTGTCCAACCAAGTTAATGCAAGGTTTTGCAGTTTCATATATTCAGTGCCTCGTACATTGTTTCCAAACCAAGGAGAGTAGGGAAGTAGCAAATTTAATTTTTAAAACAATAATTTGTAAAATTACAAGTTTCATGGACTAAATAAATAGTATCAAAGGGATTGAATTGTTCAGCTCCTTGTGCATATAAACTTGCTTAAGAATTTGCAAGATACACATAATTTTTCTTTCTATATTGCGCTTGGTGAACCTTGGTATAAAGGGGTAATTTTCTGACTTTGACAACTGGGTGGGGTTTTATTCTCAGTATTTATAAGGGAAGTACTACCAGTTCCCAATGTTTCTAGTTGAATTCTTTAAGATTTACCTCCAGTGAAAGCATTCTGTGCTCCTTTGTGTATGTTAACCCCTTCTTCTGGGATAGAAAGATGAATCACAGCACTAATCCTTGAAGTTGCTGTTCTCCAAGTGTGATCCAGAGACCCCAAAGATTCCCCAGGATCCTTTCTGGAGATAGTAGTAGAATAAAGGCAAAAGTAGATAGAATCCAACTGATTTCTATTATGCTAGACATTAAAGAGACTTATAAATTATAAAACAGTGCCACTCTTCTTACTTTGAGAAAATACAGATTTTAAAAATCACACCTCAGTCTGAACCAATACAGTTATTTTGTATTTTATTTAAATTCTCAGCTTTAATTTCTGATATGGTAATGTAAATAAATGCAATCCATATAAATTAGAAGAATTCTGAGACAAAACAGCCTTAAAAATTTTCCTCAGTCTAAGTCCAGGTGTGGTGTCTCACGCCTGTAATTCTAGCACTTTGGGAAGCCAAGGTGAGAGGATTGCTTGAGTGCAGGAGTTCAAGATCAGCCTGGCTATATAGTGAGTCTCTGTCACTACAAAACAATTTTTCAAAAGTTAGCTGAGTATGGTGGCACATGCCTGTGGTCCTAGCTACTCAGGAGGCTGAGGTGGGAGGATTCCTTGGGCCCGGGAAAGCTGTGTTTGCACCACTGTACTTCCAGGCTAGGTGACTGAGTGAGACCTTATCTCAAAATATAAATTTAAAAAATCTCTCAGTCTATTATGAAAGAACTTGCATACAAGGCAAAATGCAATAAATGACTTTGTCATTTGTGAGGTTTCATCCTTGTTACCTATGAGTAGAGCTTGTTTATTTTCATTGCTATAGTGTTTTATTGTAGGAATGCACTACAGTTTACACTTTGGACTATGTGACATTTAAGTCATTTGCAATTTGGGACAGTTTTGGCATCTCCAGCATCATCCCTATGTTTTGAGGTTTGCCAGAAGGAGTCACAGGACTCGACATACAGTTGTGCTCACAGCTAAGATCAATTACAGATGCATAGTAAAGAGACATAGTTAGATCATAAAAGAGAGAGACACACAGGTGGAGTCCTTATGCTCTCTCCCTCGTCTGAATGGTAACACAAGAGTGCCCTTTCCCCAGCAACAAAAATACAGCAACGTATATGCTTCTGTCAAGGGAAGCCTATTAAAGACTCAGTGCCCAAAGTTTTTGTTGGAACCTGGTCACATAGGCACTTTTTGCCTAGCACCTGCCAAATTTTACCCTCTTATCGGGAAAACCTGTGTCTAGCATGAACCGTCTTGTTCACAGAACTACTCTACACACAGTCACCCTTATTGGTTAGGGAAAGTATAGTTCTTTTTTATTTTAAATCTATTTATTCCTCAAATTTTAGACTACTATAGAAAAATCTTACTGGATCTAAAGTAAGGTCATTGGTCTTAAATGTCAAAATGAGCTTGAACATAATTGGAAACAAAGCAGACATCAAAATGTTATGATGATTCCAGCAGCAAATTACTTCAAGTATTATCTATTCTTAAAAATAATTTCAAGATTAAAAGTAAACATGTCAAAAATTCATTTCCAAAAAATGTGAATCTTTTTTTAGTTATGAAAAGTATATGTAGGTATGTTCAATTATTTCTTTTAAATGGCCACACGGGTTAACTTTTTTTTCCCATAGTAAAATATACATTACAGAAAATACCATTTTAACCGCATTTTAAGTATACAGTTCAGTGGTTCGAAATACATTCATATTGTTTGTCCTGTTCACCGTTGTGTCCCTGTTCAACCATTGTGTACCTAGAGCCTATGAGCATCACAGGGTTAAGGAATTTATGCAGTTGCTTTTTTTGAATTGTGATGAGATTTACTGTGTTAACTATTTTTAGGTTTACAGTTTAGTGATAAGTATATTCACATTATCATACAGCCATCATCACCATCCATCTCCAAAACTCTTTTCATCTCGCCAAATTTTGCCAATTAAACAATAACACCCCATTCCCCCCTCTCCCTAGACCCTGGCAATTAACCAATCTACTTTCTGTCTCTTTTTACTACTCTAGGTACCTTATATAAGTAGAATCATATTGTGACTACACTATTTTACTTAGCTCAATATCCTCAGGGTTTATCCATGTTGTAGCATACATCAGAATTTCTTTCCTTTTTAAGGCTGAGTAATATTTCATTTTATGTCTATATCACATTTATTGATCTGTTAATCCCTCAGTGGACACATGGGTGCTGCCACCTTTTCAGTTAAGAAATGTTTTAATACTGTAGGAAGGCCAACCTTACAAGCAGGCCTTTCTAAGGCTAGCAGTTTTAGGCCTACTGTGTTAACTCTTTTTTGTACAGGGCCATTACAAATAATGCTCCTGTGAACATTCTTATACATGTGTGGAAGCATCACACACACAGTGGAATTATGGTTTCATATGTTGTACATATATGCAAATTTAGTGTTGAGTGCCATATAGTGTTCCCAAGTGTTATGCCTCTAACCTGCTGATGTTTTCTTTAAGATTGATATTAAAAGTATATATAGATTTAGGTGAGGATTGAGGGAGAAAATGTGTTTGTTAAATACAGTACTTATTATTGCAAGAAAAATTTAAAACTTAGCAGACTAGGTATAGCAGGCACTACCTTCATTTGATGATGGCTTTACATGTAACCAAAACTCTACAGCAAGCTTCATGTTTAATGGTGAAATTTTGAAAGCTTTTCCTGTGAGATTAGGAAGCACCTAAGGATATCTGTCTTCTATTCAGTGTAATCCTGAAGGTTCTAACCTAGGAAATAAGATATAAAGATTGGAGAGACATAAATGAAACTGCTATTTCAAGGAGAGTTAACATGTTTATAGCATTAAATTTGCCTATTCAAGAAAGCATCTTCATCATGTCTAGTCCTTTATTATGAAAAGTATGGCCAAGATTTTGGTGGGCATACATAAGTGGAACAGTCTTTCAGGTAGCAGAAACTTTATTTAGCCACGTCAAAGAAAGGCCACGTAGTTGGTGTGGTAGTGTGTGCCTGTAGTAACAGCTACTCAGAAGGCTGAGGCAGGAGGATCATTTGGGCCCAAAAGTTTGAGGGCAGCCTGGGTAACATAGCCAGACCCCCGTCTCTAAAAATAATGGCCACATAATTTAGTAGGGGGACTTCACCTGTTTGCATTCTGTGTCCATGTTGTGTAAGAAATAAGGTACTGAGAGTCCCTAACTATACCCAGAAGGGCAAGCCTGGGCATATTCCACTTTAAGGTAATGGTAAATGTTTTGTGCTTCACCTTCTTATTTGGAGAATGTTTGGCAATGTTTCTGGTACCATTTGTCCTAAGAAAATGATAAACAGTGTGCACCAAGATAACCAGTTCAACATTAAGTACCCCCTCCCTCATTGAAACTAACTAAAAAGTCTGTAAAACCCTGAGTAAAGTATAATATATCTGTTTTGGAATATGATGTCATTAAAAATCAAGTCTCATTCTGGTTCAGAGGCAAGATAGAAAGGCATACTTCTCCCTATTCCTCTTAATAAATGGCAAAAACCCTTGGACATTGCATATAAAACAAAAATAATTAGACCCTTTGCCAGGCATGGTGGAGTGCGCCTGTAGACCCAGCTACTTAGGAGGCTGAGGCAGTTGGATTGTGAGCCTGGGGGACAGAGCAAGACCCTATCTCTTTAAAAAGAAAAAGACGACGACGACGATAACCACTCTTAAAGGTAGAGAGAAAAGGGCAGATTCACTCATGGGACCCACGGGACTACGTAAGCAGTGAGTTCCCTAGGTTTTGTGTTTTCCTGACATATCCCAGACCAGGATGTGCAGAAAATGAAAATGTTAAGAGTAAGCGTAAAAACCTAGGTAAATAAATAAACTTTCCTTAGCTGGCACAGTGGAGTATGCCTGTAGTCCCAGCTACTCAGGAAGTAGTCTTTCCATACATTATGAGACCTGATTGCTTCCTTTGCAGTAGGTATAAAAGAGTACCATTGTCTTACACTTAGTTTTTATTCCTGATTGCCAGAATTACAGGTTTCTTTGGCTGTATTGTGCAAATGTCATATACTTAGAACAGATACACAGTTCACTTTAAAATAATTTTTTTTGGTATGAAATGTGGGAAAGTGTTCAAACATTTTCCTCTAACATGTTTAAATTGGACATACCACTTTTCCCTGAAGGAAAATATCTTAATGTTTACTGAATAATAAATATGATATATTTGGAAAATCCAACATAATTGCATACTCAGAAATACCTGTTATTGTGATTATTCTTCCAAGCATTAAATATATGATATGATATGCACGTATGTTATTTTTATAAGTGGATTCTTAGAAAATATAATCTTCTGTTTCTGGTTTTCCACTTAACAGTGTTGGAGATACCTTTTCCACATTAATGCATATAAATCTACTCTACCACCTCCCCCCATAAGTGTTCTGATACATGACTCTTGTAATTTTAATGTAGCTTCCTGTTGGTAGATCTATATATTCCACCCCCCTACACCCCCCAGGTTTTTTTTTTGGTTAGGAAAATATATTGTAATTGTGAGTAAGTTGCGTGTTACATACTATGTTTTTGAACACTTGGAAAGTTTGTGAAAGTAAATTTCTAGAAATGGTAATTGCTCTTTCAGGGGAGCATGTAGGGATTCAAAATAATCCTCACATTTTGTCTTGTTTTGTTTGTTTTAATTTGTTATCCTACATAGTTTTATGAACTTTGAAGAAAATATTTTTATTTGTTCATTCCCCTTAGCAGAGTTGCTGAGTCCCATTCCTAGTTTAAGGCCTAGACTTTTGAGAAAACACAGATGTCGGGCACCCTTCCAGAGAACAGTAAAAGCTGAGGGTTTGCCTGTTGGGAGTTACTCTAATACGCATAATGCATACAGGCCACTTGAAGGTAGAAGGCAAACTATTGTTCTTTTTTCTTTTGCTTTTTTTTCGGACTTCCTATTTCGAAGATTTGGGGACGTTATACCAGGAGGTGGGGGGCAGAACTTGAAAAAGAAATGAACTTTTGAAAAAATGTGACTCTGGGTTATTGAGTCCAAAATGTCTTGAAGTTGACATCCAAGGTTGAGTCAGGATCTCTGTAACAGGAAACGTTATAAGCTTGATTCCCTGTGCCTGAAGTGACTTGCAATGAACCCCTCAATATCGGGCCTGAGTGTCTTTCTTTATGAGTAGTAAGAAAGGCAGTGCCCTATTCTGCAGCCTAGGCTGCTGGGCAAAGGGGAGAATTTGGATTTGAGGTGTTGGTGAAGGGAATCAAGGAGCGTGAATTTCTGTCATAAGAAACCAGTATGGTTTACCTTTGCCAGGCTCAGAGTTCATGATAATGTTCCTGCAATTATCCTTTTCCTTATGATTTAAAAGAGTTCACACCTGTAATACCGACCTGGGAGGCTGAGGCAGGAGGATAACTTGATCTCAGGAGCTCAAGACCAGTCTGCACAACATAGCAAGACCTCATCTCTACTAAAAATTTAAAAAATAGAAAGGCCATGTGTGTTAGCTCACGCTTGTAATCCCAGCACTTTGGGAGACCGAGGCAGGCAGATCATGAGATCAGGAGTTTGAGACCAGCCTGGCCAACATGGTGAAACCCTGTCTCTACTAAAAATAAAAAAATTAGCCAGGTGTGGTGTCAGGCATCTGTAATCCCAGCTACTCAGGAGGCTGAGACAGGAGAATCACTTGAACCTGGGAAGCGGAGGTTCCAGTGAGCTGAGACTGTGGCACTGCACTCCAGCCTGGGCAACAGAGTGAGACTCTGTCTCAGAAAAAAGAAAAAAAAAAAAAAAAAAAAAAAAAAAAAAAAAAAAAAAAAAAAAAAAAAAAAGCTTGGCATTGTAAGTTTTTGGAGGTTGAACGAGGTTATTTATCTTTTCAGAACTCAACAGTGACAATTGAGGAGTTCCACTGTAAGCTCCAAGAAGCCACAAACTTCCCCCTTCGTCCTTTTGTGATTCCATTTCTCAAGGTAATTCAATAAAATAATTACTAAATATAATTTATCTTCAGTATCTTCTCAAGTTCTTCTAATCCCTGTTACGTGATTTAAATCAGAGCAGTTTGCCACATTTTTAGATCTTTATTTTTGGCTGTTAGAGAGGTCTGAGTGCAGTCAACAGATAAACCTCAGATTTCATGAGATGAGAACTGCAAAAGTCTTATGTTGTGGTCTGTGTGCAGACACTGCTGGTAACACACAGGAGTAGCTAGCATAGGAGAGAATGGGAGGTGCTTGGGCTGGAAGTGTGAAGGTAGAAGGGAGGTAGAGCTCCTAACAGAAGAAATAACTGCACACTAATCTTTTGGGTACAGTCAGAGTGTGAAGAGTATGGTATCTGAGAAGAGGGCTGTCGGACAAAAGGCAAGGCCTTTGCAGTTTAGACTTACTCTAAGGTCAGGAGAGGATGTGGGAAGACAGTGTTTGTGTCTCCCCAAACCCAGTTACTGTAGTTTCTAAAGATGTCTTCTGCAATAATGTTTTCCGGACCATAACTTTTGGAGAGATTGTTCTGCATTATCATGCTTAAATGATAAATGAAATGAGATAGTGTTTTCTTTACATGGAATATAATCTTTTTAAAAAGCTTTTGGCCGGGGACAGTGGTCCACACCTGTAATTCCAGCACTTTGGGAAGCCAACGCAGGTGGATTGCTTGAGCTCAGGAGTTCGAGACCACCTGTCCAACATGGCAAAACCCCATCTCTACCAAAAAATACAAGAAAAATCAGCTGGGCAGTGGCACACACCTGTAGTCCCAGCTACTTGGGAGTCTGAGGCAGGAGAATTGCTTGAACCTGGGAGGTGCAGGATGCAGTGAGCTGACATTGTGTCACTGCACCCCAGCCTGGGTGACAGAGCAAGACTCTCTTTAAAAAAAAAAAAAAAAATTATTTAAGAGTAAGCTGCAAGACCAGGTATGGTGGCTAATGCCCATAATCCCAGCACTTTGGGAGGCCAAGGCGGCCAGATCACTTGAGGTCAGGAGTTAAGAGAACAGCCTGACTAACATGGTGAAACCCTGTCTTTACTAAAAATACAAAAAAATTAGCACCTGCCTGTAGTCCCAGCTACTCATGAGGTTGAAGAAGGAGAATTGCTTGAACCTGGAAGGCAGAGGTTGCAGTGAGCCAAGACCATGTCACCACACTCCAGCCTGGGTGACAGAACAAAACTCTGTCTAAACAAAGAAAAGTAAGCTGCAGACATTATGCTTTTAAATACTTGAATACAGTTATCAAATCAGGAAAGTAACATTGATACAGCACTGTTATCGTATCTATAGACCGTATTCATACTTCACCACGTATGCTGCTAATATATTTTACAACAAAGAAAAGCTTGGGAGGGAGCTTAGTTCTGGATCTAATTCAGGACCACTCGTTGCATTATTTGTCATGTGTCTTTAGTCCGCTTTAGTCTGGCACACTCACTCAGCTGCTTGTGATCTTGACATTTTTACAGATTACGGCATAGTTACCTGGATTTGGTTCTCTCTGATGTGTTAGTATGATTAGAATCATTTTCCAAAAAAACTGTACTCGGCTGGGCTCAGTGGCTCACACCTATAATCCCAGCACTTTGGGAGGCCAAGGTGGGTGGATCATCAAGAGACCAGCCTGACCAATATGGTGAAACCCCATCTCTACTAAAAATACAAAAAATTAGCCAGACATCGTGGCATGCACTTGTAGTCCCAGCTACTCAGAAGGCTGAGGCAGGAGAATCGCTTGAACCCGGGAGGCAGACGTTGCAGTGAGCCGAGGTTGCACCACTGCACTTTAGCCTGGGTGACAGAGCAAGACTCCATCTCAAAAACAAAACAAACACAACAAAACAAAAAATTATACTCAATTGTTACTATATTTTGAATTTTGTCAATATTTATGGAAATTTGTTTTCTCTGTTTTATGAGTATCTGTATAATATCTTTAATTTCGCCTTTTAACAAAGCCTAAAAAATTTACTATCTAGCCAAATAAATAAGCCCCTTTTACTTTACCTTTCATTTCCTAAGAAAATGTAATAGCATCAGACAGATAGGTCATCTTACAAAAGTACTAATACCAGTTTTTAAAAACTTTATATTGGAGCACAGCAGATACACAGAAAGAGGCATAGGTCTAAGGCGCACAGCCTGTATCACGGCTCTGTTCTCACGGCGTCAAAGCCCTGGCTGCTCTGAGAAGTCTGTGGCACCTTCCTGAGCCCTGAAACAGCTGTACTGGCTCTATCTTGATCTCCTTTCTGTGTGTCAGATCTGGCAGACAATTATTTCCCCAAGACTCTAGAATTAAAAAAGATTTGTGAAATTTGTGTTAATAGGAAATAATTAGCATGTTTTTTATTCATCATGGGACATGTCACAAGTGTAAAGATCTGACATGGTGGTTTTTTTTTTTTTAATTAAGTTTTTACAGTTGCAACAAGATTGAGGTTATAGAACAGACTTTAAAAGAATTTTATATAGTCAAATTCCCTATTCTTAACTCTGTTATTTTGGAAAACAGCATGAGGTAGGTTGTTATGGCAGCTTTTTGGCTAGCATTTGGGGTTTTGTCAATTTATTTCTGCTTTAAAACAGTCACTAATTATGGTGCCTGCTAAATTAACCCTCAGTGAAGGGATAGCTACTTGCATGTATTAAAACTCTCCTTTCACTTACTCATTTGTCCCTTGGGTTTAAGCCTTTGCTTATGAGCTCAGCCTGCATTGCTTTTAAATTTGATGAGAAAAATATAATTTCTACTTTATGGTTTTTTTTTAATAAAAGACATGGGAAAAGTAAATTCTGTATATGAAGGAAGTCAAGTTCTGAGCTTTAAAAGATGTATGGGTTTTAAAATGTGATTTGTTCCTATTATAGGTTTTCTAAATATGAGAGACAGAAAAATATCTAATGAATTATCTTTTTACATTTTACATCACTCCCAATGCTCCTTTTCAAACTCCCATGTTTCGTAATAATCACAGTTTCTAGAATTCCATGGCAGCTCTCATATAGAACATGAAGGAAGGCTGAGTAGTGCTATCAGAGATGGGCTGGGATTCAGAAGAGAGAAACCAGGGCTTGGAATGACACCCACATAGGCAATAGTACTTCTCTCACTCACTGAAGTCTTCAGAAGTGTGTGTTTTAAAATTACTATGTTCAACAACGCTTTATTGAACTTTGACTCTATACTAGGCTGTAAAGGTAAATAAGGTACAGTCTCTTCCTTAAGCAGATTTACATCTGGTTGGGGCAAGAAATAACTGAACCAGTAATTCAAGTGTCGTATAAGAGGTGTCATACTCACAGAAGAAGCATGTGAAAATCAGACTGCCAAGGAAAAGAGGGCTTTTATCTGTATCATCTACTTCATGAAAGCGTTTGAGGTGCTGAGCCCTGTTGTATAGGGCCCAACACTGAGAAAACTGCCTCTTCCTTTCAAGGCCAATCTGCCCCTGCTGCAGCGAGAACTGCTGCACTGCGCTCGGGCAGCCAAGCAGACCCCATCCCAGTACCTGGCTCAGCATGAACACCTTCTGCTCAATACAAGCATTGCATCGCCTGCTGACTCTTCAGAGCTGCTCATGGAAGTACATGGAAATGGGAAGAGGCCCAGTCCGGAGAGGTGAGCAGATGAGCTTTGCTGTCCTTGTCTTTCTGGAACCACAGTGTCCTTTCCCTTTGCTTATAAAAGAAAGAGAATTTGATTGCTGTGGTTATAATGTCTCAGACTTCTATTGAGACAAGTTCTGGCTCTATCGCCCAGACTGGAGCACAGTGGCACAATATTTGTTTACTGCAGCCTCTGCCTCCTGGGCGCAAGCGTTCTTCCCACCTCAGCCTCCTGAGTATCTGGGACTGCAGGCACGTGCCACCATGCCCAGCTAATATTTGTGGGGTTTTTCTATTGTTTTGTTGTAGCTGTTGTTTTTGTTGTTATTGTTGGAGAGATGGGCTTTTACCGTGTTGCCCAGCCTGATCTCAAACTTGTGAGCTCTAGAGATCCACCTGCCTTGACCTCCCAAAGTGCTGGGATTACAGGTGTGAGCCACCATACCCAGCCCAATGTCTCAGGCTTTCTATGGTTATTTTTGCTTTTTTCCAATACCAAGCTGCAGGATACATCTAAAATCTATGAGAGTAGCTTCTAGTCATGAGCGTTTTTCAGAAACTCTTCAGATGCCTACATACCCAGTGAGAAACTCTACTTTAGAAAATTTATGGGTCTCCTGTTCGAGAAGCCTCAGAAATACAGTTGTACCTTTTCTTGGATGCTGTTCATAGAAAGAATTAAAAAATAAAGAAATACAATCTGCCAAATGTATTTTTTCCCTTTTTGATGAGAGAATTATTATTTTTGACAAACTCTTTTTTTTCTGATGTGAGAAGTCTCGAAAAAGTATAGCAATTATTAATACTTGCCAGTGACTCATTTTTACTGAGATTAAAATTAATATGAATTTATTTTGGAAAGCTCCCTATGAGTGGCTATCAAAGGCGGCAATAATTTAACAATAGTGGATAGGCTTTAATGACACTTTTTAGAAAGTATAAAAAAGAAAAGTAGAAAATTTATTACAGTTGAATCTGAGTCACTGAAAACCCTGCCAGTACACAATTGGACCCACTGTTAATTTGACTGGCTTTAAAAAAATAAAAGACCCAATTGGATTTGTTATATGAGCCTTTTTTCTCCCATGCAGTTTCTTTCCAGTAACTCACCTTCATAGTAACAAGTTTGACCTTAATACTTTCCCAAGTATGGCTGAACCCATAACTCAGGAAAATGCTGTCATCTCCTTAGTCACTCCTTTGCTTCATGAGGGTTAATGTTTCTGTTCGGTTATAGATGGCTTTGACCTCTCTTTTCAGGCTGGTATCAGTCAGCAGTTTATACGATATCCCTGGCCCCTGAAGACAATTCAGTTCATGCCTCATGTTATGCCTTCCTTAGAGTCTTCCTGTTTATCCCAGTGCATATCACAATACCTAACGCATAGTAGGTGCTCTGGAAATGTCTGCATGTACACTTGTTGACAGGCTCAGATATGCACTTCTGCTTCTTCCACAGGAGAGAAGAAAATAATTTTGATAGAGATACAGTTGCTCCTGAGCCTCCTGCCAAGAGAATATGTACCATCAGCCCTGCTCCTCGGCACAGTCCTGCCCTCACTGTGCCCCTCATGAATCCTGGGGGCCAATTCCATCCTACCCCTCCGCCTCTTCAGCATTACACCTTAGAGGATATTGCAACTTCTCACCTGTATCGGGAACCCAACAAGATGCTAGAGCACCGAGAAGTTCGTGATAGACACCACAGTCTTGGTGAGCAATCTAAGCAGCATGGTAAATTCAGATTGGATTATTGGATGTCTTTCCAACTCAGTGATAAAGTCAAATAATACCATGATTGCTTTTTTCCACGATTGGATAAAAACTTTGGGAGGCTGGCTGGGCGCAGTGGCTCACACCTGTAATCCCAGCACTTAGGGAGGCTGAGGCGGGCGGATCACAAGGTCAAGAGATCAAGACCATCTTGGCTAACACAGTGAAACTTCATCTCTACTAAAAATGCAAGAAATTAGCCAGGCGTGGTGGCATGTACCTGCAGTCCTAGCTACTCGGGAGGCTGAGGCAGGAGAATCACTTGAACCTGGGAGGTGGAGGTTTCAGTGAGCAGAGATCGAGCCACTGCACTCCAGCCTAGACAATAGAGCAAGACTCTGTCT